TCGGAGGTTGCGGCTATCCAAGAGAACACGGTCGCCGACTGCGAACGACACCTCACGACGACTGCGGTTGGTGGTGCGTGCCATGCGTGCATTTGCGAGCTCAAGGTGCTTCCTCACGTGATCATGAATGAAGGTGAGATGCTGGTGGAAGTTGTCCGCACGAGGGACTGTGGGTGTGAGATCGACACGAGTGGGGACATTGGGGTGCTGACCGTAAAGTGCAAAGAACGGTGACATGCTTGTGGCGGAGTGGTGCGTGTTGTTGTAGGCGAACTCTGCCATGCTCAGCTTCTTGTCCCATGCGGCTGCGTCGTGCATCGTGATGCTGCGAAGGATCTGCTCCAAGGTCTGGTTCACACGCTCGGTCTGTCCGTCTGTCTCTGGGTGGTACGCAGACGACATGGCTAAGCGAGTCCCAAACAGTGCGAAAAGCTGCTTCCAGAACTTGGAGGGAAAAAAGGGTCGCGGTCTGAGATGATGGAATCTGGAACCCCGTGCAGTCGGACTACGTTATCTACGAACAGCGTCGCGGCTTCCTCTGCTGTGACCTTGCCGTGCGTGGGGATGAAATGCGCTGCTCGAGAAAACTTATCCACTACTACGAAGATGGCGTCGTGACCCCTAACTGTGCGCGGTAAAGCCATGATGAAGTCCATGGTAACTACCTGCCAAGGGCGGTCGGGCGGTGGAATCGGCTGCAAGAGTCCTGCTTTGCGCTGGCGAGAGGACTTCGTACGTTGACACGTGTCGCACGAGCGAATGTAATCCTCTACGTCTGCTGCAAGCCCGGGCCAGTAGTACGTGCGACTAAGCGTCTTAGCGTCTTATCTGCTCCGAAGTGCCCTGCACTAACTACGTCGTGCGCCTCTGAGAGAAGGAGCTGTCGAAGAGGGCGGTAGGCTGGAACCCAAATCCGTGTGGTACCCTTCCGTATGTAGACACTTCCCTGCACCTCTGCTCCTGCGGGCGGCTGCGGTGTGAAGTCGGGATCTACTGTGTAGCCGTGCTCGAAGAGTGCTGTGAGAAGTGGGTGGCCAGCAGTGACTGTGAGACTGGCGAGCTGACAACTAGGGCGAGTGAGCGGATCTGCTGGGTTGCGCACGCCTGGCTTGTACTCTATCCTGTAGTGAAAGCTCCTTTCCATGAACTCCATCCACCTAGCCTGGCGACGACTCAGCTGCGGCTGCGACTTGAGGAAACGAAGCGAACAGTGGTCCGTGCGTATAACACTATCTGCCCCCTCTAGGTAGCACCTCCACACCTTATACGCATGGATGATCGTGAGCGCCTCCTTGTCGTGTATGGGATAGTTCAACTCCGCTCCCCTAAGCTTACGCGACTCGTACGCGATCGGCTGCAACCCGCGTCCCTGGTCCTGAAGAAGCACTGCTCCTATGGCCTGATCGGAAGCGTCGGTCACTACAACGTATGGGCGAGTGGGATCAGGGTACGACAGTGTCGGTGAAGACGTGAGCGACTGCTTCATCTGCTCGAACGCCTGCTGCTGCGCTGGACCCCAAACGTACTCTACGCCCTTCCGAAGTAGGTCGGTGAGTGGACTAGCGATCGATGCGTAACCCTGAACGAAACGACGGTAGTAGTTCGCGAAACCGAGGAAGCTCTGCAACTCCTTGACTGAGGTCGGTGCTACCCAATCCTGTACTGCTGCGATCTTCTTCGGGTCAGTCCTAATGCCACTAGCGGATACGACGTGTCCTAGGAACTCGACCTCTTGAAGGAAGAACTCGCACTTCGACTGCTTAACGTATAACTGCTCCCTCCGTAAGACCTCGAAGACCTTCTGCAAGTGCTGCACGTGCTCATCTTTCGTCTTAGAGAACACTAGGATGTCGTCTAGGTAAACGACAACGAACGACCCTAGGAACTCGGAGAGGACTGTGTTCATGAGCGTCTGAAACGTCGCTGGGGCGTTGGTCAATCCGAACGGTAGAACCCTAAACTCGTACAACCCCTGCTTCGTACGAAACGCCGTCTTGTGCTGGTCCTCTGGAACTACTCGAATCTGGTGGTAACCCGAACGAAGGTCGATCTTTGAGAAGACTCTAGCGCCCTGCACTGCATCGAGAAGATCCTCTACTCTCGGCACCGGGAATCTATTCTTGACGGTGGCGGCGTTCAGTGCGCGGTAATCTATGCACATCCGTAACCCTCCGTCTTTCTTGGGTGCGAAAAGTATCGGTGCGGCCCAAGGCGATCTAGATGGCTGTATGAAACCCTGTGCGAGAAAGTGCCTAACTTGCTGCGTCATCTCCTCTGTCTCCGCTGGACTCAACCTCCACTGCGGCTTCGCTACTGGCCTGCTCCCCGGCTCCAATTCTATTCGATGGTCTACTGCTCGGCTGGGAGGCAACCCTGGGGGCAACTCGTCGGGGAAGACGTCTGCGAACTCTGCTAACAGTGCACTCACCTCAGCAGGAAGAGTCGCCTTCTCACTAACTGCTGCACTCCCTCCTTTCCCCTCCTCAGCTTCCACCTCCTCAAGAAAAACCGCGAAGATCCGTGCCGCACGCTTCACTAACTGTCGCACACGAACAGCATTAATGATAGCTGTGGATGATGTGGCCCCATCGCTCCACTGTGGCAGCTCTCGGAACTTCCCGTCTACCTTGACGCTGCAGCTTCCCTGAGCCCAATCGAACTGAGTACTAACCGTCCGTAGCCAATCTCTCCCGAAGATGAAATCGTATCCGTCCAGCGTCGTAGAGTCGAAATCACGCCTGACTGTGATCGGTCCTAGCACTACGCGCAACTTGCGGATGATCGGTCCTATGTGAAGTGGCGTCCCATCTACCATGCGAGCGTCCTTGAAGTTGACTGCTGAATCTGCTTCGAGATGGAGACGAGAAACTAACGATGAAGAGACGAACGAGTGGCTAGCTCCGCTATCTACGAGAATCTTAACAGGAACTCCGCGAAGCTTCCCTAGAAGCACGACTGGACGATCAACAGTGTCTACCTCGTTCTCCGTAGATGACTGCTGCAAAGCCGTCTCCTCTACGTTGGTAGACGTGGCGGGTACGGGAACCTCCACACCAGCTAGCGACCCGCTATCTACTGGCGGTTTCCGTTTCCCTGCTGCCGCACCTTAAGCTGTGGGCAGTCTCGCTTCATGTGTCCCGGGCTTTTTGCAGTAGTGACAGTTCCCCCTAAATCCCATTTTCTGTGAGCCGTCACTGTTAACTGCACCAATCTCCATGGGCGATGGTCCGTCCCTCGATCGAGCGTCGTTGATCGGTCTGTTGTATCCCCTATCGCGATCGTCACGACCCCGTCGGCTTCGTACTGCGTCGACGCGTTCTGCTGCTGCGACTACCGACTCGAAGGTGGACAACCCGTGAATCGCAATGACTTCCGCTATGTCCGGCTTCAACCCTTCGAGGTAGCGATCGCGCATCTCTGCTTCCGTGATATCGTCTATCTCGTTGCAGATGCTCAAGAACCGTCGTATGTACTCCTGGACGTTGCCTATCTGTCGGAAATGACGCAGACGCTTCCTAGCAGCTTCGGAGGCGTTCACCAAATCGAACCTACTTTTCAGCGCCGCTTCAAATCCTTCCCATGTGGTCGGAACCGTGGTAACACCCAAAGCTAAACTCCCTAAGCTCGAAGTTGCAGCTGCATGCCCCACGCCCTGTTGATGCCCGTCCGTCTGAGCCCTTCTTACAGCAGTTTGAGTGAGTTGGCGCCACCACTCCAAGGCCGGGCCCCTCAGCAGTGTAACAGCGTACTCGATCCGCTGCTGCGCGTCCGCCTCTTGCACCCCGCTCGCGGCGAAGTAGTTGTTCAGCATGAAGAGCCACGTCCGCACGTTCGCGTCGCGTTGACTTGGGTCGAACGACTCGGGTTTCTGCGGCTTGAGTGCGCTTCGACGTTCCGGCAGCGCTTCCGCGCCAGTCGACGTGTTGGGCGCAAGAGTTGGCGTGGCATGACCATGGGGGCTAGAAGCCAATTCACGAAGCTGTTGCATTTCAGCTCGTACCTGTCGATTTTCCAGCGTCAACTCTTGAAGTTGGCGCATGAGTTCGGCAAGCGTATTGCCCATGTCGTGGGGGACTGCGTGCATGGTTTCGTCCATGTTCGCTCAACGACTCCAAGTCTGCAAGTCGGCACCGCGGGACGATGACGTCGTAGTCTCGTCGTCGACGGTCGCTCGTTGGAAGTCGCTCCCCGCGAAGGCTCTTGATACCAAGTGTTAGGCCCGACGGCCTAAGTCCGCGAAAGAATTAGCGGGGTCGACTAAGTCGAGGATGAAACGCGGCGGAAGACTTTGGCGAAAGAACTAATGGCGAAATAGGCGAAGAAGTTACTAAGTAATTGAAGAAGAGTTGAATGAGAATTGATTGATAATGGCAAGTACAAGCAAGGTTTATATAGCATGCAAGAAACAAGGTTGGAAAGTGGAATGTGGGACCAAGAATTGGAGTGCAAGAAAAGTAGAGTGCCACGTGGCACTAGAGAATCTGAGAAGATAAGGATAATGGTGACTAGGAATGTACTGTTCGGAATGAACAGTAAACACCCCTCTAACACTGTGAGTACTGAAAGGTATAGTTTTCAATGCAGAAAACGAGCACAACTCTGTAACCCACTGACAAGCAGATATCGCGTCACCAGGGAGGGAAACAATTTCGCGCCAGTTCAGCACCAAACGTAACTGGTCGTGGTGCAAACGTGACGCGCGCGACAAAACATGCTGCAAGCAGATTGGCGCCAAGCCAGAGTCATGAAGTCCCAGACCAAAAACGAAGCACCGTTCGGAATGCAGGTTCAGTGGGGACTCATTTCGGAACCCCGCGCAGCTCAATTGCCTGGCGAAAGTTACTTCGCTGAAGTAACTAAAATTGAAGTTACTTGTAGGAAGGCATCAATTTTGAGATGTATTTTACGCTAGCTTTCAGGACGTATCTGTGACGTGGCACGATCAGCGGCTTACTCCGACGTGGTTTGCAGCGAGAGGTGGTTCACTGACGCGGACGACGATGCGGAAGATGCTTGGCTTGTCGGCCAAGGCCAAGCGGGCGGATGCAGCGAGGCCATCCTTACCGAACTATGTTGGTAATTTTCTCAACGCCAGCGATAGCCAAGCCATCCTTGTTTCGCGACGCCTCAAGGCGACTCGCCCGCCGCACGTCCTCGTCACCCGCCATCTGTCTGCTCGTTCCGCCCTCTCTCGCTTCTGTCCCTTCTCTTTGTGTATCTTTCTCTCACGCCGCTCTGCCTCCCACGCTAGTCCTCCCCCTCTTCCTCTCCCCCCCCTCTAACTTGCTCTCCCCTTTACATCCCCCCTCCCCTTCCCCTCCCCCCCCCCCCCCCCCCCCCCCACAACCCCCCAACGTGACTTCTCTCAGCTTCCCCCATCCAGGGCGCTTGTGCGCGGTTTTCCCTGGCGGACATGCTAACCGCAACGAACCACTGGGCACCGCAGTTGCTGGTGGGCGACGGCCACCGCGTGCTGTTCAAGGGCGTGGATCCGCGCGACGGTGTCACCCCTTGGCTCCTCAAGCGCTGCCGCGCGCGCGAGTCTGAAGAGTTCCACGCGGAGGTGCGGGGGGAAGTGGGGGGGAGGGGGGGGTTGTGCGGGGGAGGTGAGGTGGGGATCTAGGGGGAGGTGAGGGGGGGGCGTGCGGGGGAGGGTGAGGTGGGGAGTGCAAGGGAATGGGACGAAAGAGTGTGGTGTTGGAGAGCAGAGAATAGGGATGATGGGGAGGAGAGGGGAAAGGTTTGATAGGCAGAGGTGTAAGGAGGGAGGGAAGGAAAGCAAGGCGGGGGGATTCTGGAGCCTCTTCAACCGGGCTGTGTAGAAGGTTATCTGTTGGATTTGCTTGTTCATCGGCACGCACCCCTCACACTCACGCATTTCCCTCTCTGGGAAGCAGCTCTGCATTGTCGTCTCGCCCCCCACTGGAAGTCTGTCTGATTCTGCCATGCCAATGCCATACTGCCATACCGTCACAATACCAACCCCAACCCTTGGAGGGATGGTAGACCCAACCCGTCACGCCATATCCGTTCCGTCAAAGCAAGTTCCTCAGTGGGGCAGCATACAAGTCGCCGTGGACCCAGCCATTGGTGGGCCGTCTAAGTCGCTGCTAGCGGTGACGGGCGAAGCATTGGGGACACTTATTATTGCTGCACTGGTCACACACAGTGCTGATATACTCACATCGTTGCGCGCGATTCACTAGAAGAGTGCTATGAACAAGATGGGTTTGGGAGGTGGTATGTGGTGATGAGTGGTGAAGGAAAATGGCAGGGTAATTGAGTTGCTTGCATGCACCAAAATCTGGGTTGGGCTTGGGAGGTGGTGTGTGGTGATGAGCGGTGGATGAGGGGGGGGGGGGATGACGGGGACATTGAGTTACGTGCACGAGAGTTTGGGATCGCTGATCGCAACCTTGGCGGAATTTTTTTGACCTAATTTTTTTTTTCGGGCTGCCCGACCAAGCAGCATACAACGTATACCGAAGCGCATCACGTTTTTTGGTATATACGTCTTCGTATATACGTCATACGAATTCTGGGCGGGGTGTGTATATTCCAGTATAGGAAAGGACATGTGTGAAGCTTTGCTGGTCATGAAGCACTGTTTGTCTTACCCTCCCCTCCTACCCGGCCCCCACCCCACCCTCTGCCTTGCCTGCCCCCAGGTGGCGGAGATGGGCAACAAGAACCACCCCAACCTGCTGCGCCTGCTGGGGTACTGCAATGAGCAAGACAAGCTGTGGCGGTGGGAGAAGGTGGTGGTGTATGAGTGCATGCCTGGTGGCAGCCTGCTCGACAAGTTTGGACCGCACGGTGAGGCATGCCGCATCACACACCTCACCTCTCTTTCTGACCGACCGAGCCCATGTCGCTGCTAGTGCTGTACCATGCCAGCCAGCCAACTCCAAACATGTACATGCGTGCCTGTTCGTCCATATCCTCTTGGAGGCATGGCATGTAGCTGGCATGGGTGCTGCATTGCACCCATGTTTAGAGTCCTTGTCCTCGTGTACTCCGTCTGTTAGTCTTTGCTGGGTCTGCCTGCCTGCCTAGTAGCCGTCCATCGCACGTGATTTCAATCCACCTCACAGGGTATTCTTCCTCTTCTTCTCGCAGGTTCCACCGCCAGAGTGCCGTTGACCCTGCAGCAGCGGCTGGGCATTCTGATAGGAGTGGCGCGCGGGCTGGAGTATCTGCACAGCTTTGGCCTCGTGCATCGCTCTGTCAGCCTTAGAAGCATTTCTCTGGATGGCAGCATGCAGGTGAGAGAGTGTGCTGTGCTGTGAGGGCACCATCCCTCTCCACACCACATGACAGGATGCGACACGACACGACACGACACGACATGACACGACCCGCAAACATGCTGCACAGTCGTGCTGTGTGGAGCAACATCCATATAGGATTGGGTGTCCCTGCCTGTTATAACTGTTGCTGCAAGGCATTCCCACCCTCTTCCTCCCGCCCCCTCATGCCATGTGAGGCCGCCCCATCCCGCACGTCACTGCACCACATTTTCCAACACCATCACCACGCCAGGCGAAGCTTGCAGGGTTTGACTATGTGACGCGCAGTGAGGCAGCAGCAGGTCGCGAGCACGCGGTGGTGGGCGAGCCTGGGTATGTGGACCCGCAGCTGGAGCTCACCAGGGAGCTGACACCCACCAATGACCTCTACAGGTGTCCATCTCTTCTCCCTAATCCGCCCACTCCCCTCCAACACGCCCACTCCCCTCCAATACGCCCACTCCCCTCCAATCCGCCCAGCTCATTCCCTCAGTTCTCCCATTCCCCTCAACCCGCCCATCTATCCTGCACGATGCGCTGAACATGTTCGTGTTCGTCCTTTGCTCAAGCCTGCCCCTTCACATTCCTCCAAGCTAGGCAGTTGATGGCGGCATTTGATGGTGGCAGCTGATGGTGGCTATGATGTCTGACCTTCCTTGGTCAACGCCTAATGCAATGCAACTCCATGCAATGTCGAATTATATTCTCCCTGCCCTAGAGTCTTGTTCACCTACCCGCCTGAACGTACTTCTATCTAGTGTTTATCCTCCTCCTCCTCCTCCGCACCATCCTCCTCGCTACCACTATCCACAGTGGCAGTACGCGTCTGCCCCTCTGCAGGGGGCGTCGGTCCTCTGTACCGGTACGTGTGACGGGAGGTCGGTGATGGCATGGATAAAAGGCCACCAACAAAACAAGCCCCGGGTGTCGCAGGCCCGTCCCGTATTCGACCCTAGAGAGGTCGACGTGCTGGAGTCGAAGGAGCACCGCCTAAACCACCTACCACTCCCCCGCCTGCTGGTGCTTGTTGTGAGGCCATTGCTCTAAGCTAAAACTCCCAAACACTAGGTCTACCTAAACTAACCCTAAACTGCGACCCTCTGCCGCCTAGCGGCTACTGATTTCTGATAAGGTTGGTGAAACCGGGTTCCTTGTGATTCCATGCTGGTTTGTATACTATAGCGCCAAGACTAACCGTTGACGCCATCCTTAGTCTAGTCTAGTCTAACCTAGAGATACTAATTACGCTAAGGGATAATGAGTTGATAAACCTCCTGATTTGTGCTCCTTGTGGTAGTAAGGGCTGCTGGTGTCTAGAGCGACTAAGTTTGAGCTAAAGAATGAGCTCTAACAAAAAGTCTTGTCGACCTAAACTGTAGGTCGCGGGACATTCGCGACGAACATATTTGTGTTCGTCGGTCACATGAAACGAACTCGAACGTGTTCGTGTTCGACACGCCTCGGGCTTCTGCGACGAACCGAACACGAACATGTTCGCCACGAACAATCTAGGCCAAAATTCGAGGCGAACCGAACAGGTGGCCGCCGTGGTGCTCATGAGAAAAAGAAAGGCTGAAATGAAGTTGATGATTTGATAAAGAAACAAGGGGGGTATACATAGTAAAGGGGTTGGATGCTAGCCTAAGGTACCATTATTGGACCCCAACCAAGAAGTTGGGTTGGGAGATTATTGGTGGGGTCCAATAATGTTGGCCAAGTTGGGGTAGGGCCAACATTGTTGGAGGGGGCCAATAATTCTACCCAACCCAACCTTTTGGGGTCCAATAATTGGACCAAGGTTGGGTTCCAACCTCCAAACTGGGTTACCCCTACTTGTACACCCAAACTCTGTTTGGGTGCTTATCTCTAGCCTATAACATGTATGCAGGTTACAAGAGGAGATATATTCTAACACAACCCCTTAACCCGCATATATGTGGAAAGGCTTGAGGGTAGCAACCCCTGAATCAAGGCGCGCCAGGAGGGGCGAGGCCGATGAGGCGGAGAAGAGCAGAGTGCGCAGGGCGGAGAAGGGCTTTGGTAAAGATATAAGCCAAGTTGGCTTCAGCAGTGATCTTGCGAACGGCAATGAGGTTCTGGTGGACAAGGTCGCGGATGAAGAAATAGCGGAGCTCAATGTGCTTTGAACGACCATGAAAGACGGGGTCCTGGGTGAGATGGATGGTGCTAGCGTTGTCACACCAGAGCGTGGGACAGCGCTGGGGTGCTCCAAGCTCTGCGAGAAGAAAGCAGAGCCAGCGGGACTCTTGCGCGGCCATGGTGCCAGCATAGAGCTCAGCTTCGCAGGAGGAGAGGGCAATGGCAGAGGAGCGAGTAGAACGCCAGCTGATAAGCCGCTGCCGAGTGTGAAGCCATAGCCTTGCGAGGAGCGGCGGTCTGGCTGGGAGTCTGCCCAAGAGGAGTCGTTGAAGCCAGAGAGAAGGGGAGGGGAGGATCCACCCAGGGTGAGGGCGTGATCCTTGGTGCCACGGAGATAGCGGAGGACCCGCTTGGCGGCAGCCCAGTGTTCCTCAGTGTGGCGGCCGGAGCCGACGAACCGAGCAAGGACGCAGATGGGGTAGGCGAGGTCGGGACGAGTGCACATCATCGCGTACATCAGCGACCGAACAAGCTCGGCATAGGGTCGGAAGGAGGTGGAGGGGGAGGTGGGTGGCGCAAGCTGGTGACCGAAAGGGAGGGGGGTGGAGACCGGTTTGGCCTGCGCCATCTCGAACTTCTCCAGGACCTGGCCGATGTAGTGGCACTGGGAGAGGGTGATGGTGCGGGCGGATCGATCACGAGTGATAGCCATGCCGAGGTAGTTCTGCAGTGGACCAAGGTCCTTGCACTTGAGACGTTCCTGAAGTGACCGCTTGACTTGCTCCATGTCGGCCTTGGTGTCAGCGAGCAGGATCATGTCGTCGACGTAGACCGAGATGAAGAAGTGACGGGGGGAAGAGCGGATGAAGAGGCTGGCATCGGAGTGGGAGGCGGAGAAACCAAGGGACTGGAGAGTGGTAGACAGCTTTGCATGCCATTCTCGTGGTGCCTGCTTCAGGCCATAAACAGGCCGCCGAAGTTGCCATACGGTGTTGTCAGGGAAAGCAGCATGAAACCCGGGAGGCCGACGGAGGAAGATGCGCTCGTGCAGTTCGCCTTGCAGGAACGCGTTGGAGACGTCCATGGAGTCAATCTCCATGTCGTCACGCGCACCAATATCCATGAGGGTGCGTAGGGTGGCCTGCTTGACAGTGGGGGCAAATGTGAACCAGTAGTCTTCAGCCCAGGTCTGGGTGAACCCCTTGGCAACGTAGCGGGCTTTGTAGACCGGTTCTTCTCCCGGCAGCTGCTTGACTCGAAAGATCCACTTGCCCTCGACAAGGTTGGCGTCAGGGGGGAGGGGAACGTCAATGAAGGAGTCGTTGCGGATAAATGCCTCACATTCCAGGAAGATGGCGGCTACCCACTTGTCAGCGTCAGGGCAGGTGATAGCCTCCTGGAAGGTGGAGGGGACGAAGATGGTGGGAGAGGAGGGAGGGGGGGCTGCGGAGTGTGCAGGGGATGCGGGAGCAGTGGGATCGTAGATGTCGGTAGATGAGGGTGGCGGAAGCGGAGTAGGGAGAGGTGGGAGAAGGGGTGCAGGAGGGAGGAGGGGAGGGAGCACAGTGTCGGTCCAGGTGAGAGGACGTGAAGGAGGAGGGAGGGGGTCTGGTGGTGAAGAGGAGTAATAGGGGGTCGTTTCGTCAAATACGACGTCAATGCTGCGGATAAGGCGTCCAGAGGGAGGGTGAAAGAAGAGGTAGCCAGGCGAGTCGCGGTTGTGCCCGAGGTAGACACACTCGAGGGCTCGAGAAGCGAGCTTGCCGTGGGTGCGATCGGGTGGAGGGATAAGGACATATGCCTTGCAACCCCAGACACGGAGACCAGCAGCGTCAGGTTTGGTGCCCGACCAAAGCTTCGTGGGGGTGGTGGTGGTATGTTGAGGATGGGAGTGAAGGTTGAGGAGGAGGGCAGCATGGAGCAAAGCATAGCTCCAGAGGGAAGGGGGGGTTGAGGCGTGAGCGAGGAGACAGCGGGCGATCTTGGTGATTTCGCGAATCCGGCTTTCTGCGACGCCATTCTGCTGCGGGGAGTGGGGGAGGGTGTGAGTCTGTTGGATGTAGGGTTGAGCAAAAAAAACGAACACCTGTTGGGTTCGCCTCGAACACGTTCGAGGCGAACCGAACAGGTATTTTTTTTTGGCTTAAAATGTTCGCCGAACAGTGTTCGATGTTCGCCCGAACACGTTCGTGTTCGGGCCGCTGCTGCAATTTGCCCGCGACGAACACGAACAGTGTTCGAGGTTCGCCCGAACACGCCTTCACAGGCGAACGGCGAACACCATTTTTTGCTCAAAGTGTTCGCCGAACCGAACAGTGTTCGGTTCGGCAAACGAAGGTGTTCGTGTAGGGGCGAACACGAACACGTTCGTGTTCGCCACTTGCTCATCCCTAGTTGGATGCCATGGGTGGTGCAATAATGGGAGAGAGTGCGATTGAGGAATTCGCCTCCCCCATCAGAGTGTAGGCGGCCGATGGGACGCTTGAAGTGGGCGCGGCATTGCTCGGCCCAGTTGATGATCATGGTCGGCGCCTGGTCTTTGTGTGGAGGAGGAAAATGGAGGAGTAGCGGCTGTGGTCGTCTACGAGGACCAGCATGTAGCGATGGCCCTGACGAGAACGAGTGGGGGAGGGTCCCCAGAGGTCCATATGGACGAGGTCAATTGGAGCGGGAGCAAAGGATGGGTGGCTGTGGTGGGGGGACTGTTTGAGTTTGCCGTGGATGCACGAGGGGCATGGAGGGGCTGGAAAGGAAGGGAGGGGGGGGAGAGTGAGAGGGAGGCTGTGAAGGAGGCGAGAGGTGATGGCAGTGCGGAGAGCGGCGAAATTGGGGTGGCCGAGACGGTGGTGGAGCAGCACAGCGGGGTGGAAGAGATGATCGGAGTTGGAGGGGGTTGGAGTGAGTGAGAGAGGGGGGGGTGACTGCTGCTGTTGCTACTGCGGCTGCCCCTGTTCTGGCGGCTGCTGCTGCTGCTGCGGCCCCTCCTGCTGCCTCTGCAGAGGCGGCTGCTGCTGCTGTTGCTGCGGCCCCTGCTGCGGCGGCTGCTGCTGCTGCTGCGGCCCCTGCTGCTGCCTCTGCTGCGGCGGCTGCTGCTGCTGTTGGTGCGGCCCCTGCTGCGGCGGCTGCTGCTGCGGCCCCTGCTGCCGCCTCTGCGGTGGCTGCTGCTGCTGTGGCTGCCCCTGCTGTTGGCGTGGAGGTGAGGTAGGGGGATGGGGAGGGTTAGTGGAAGTGCCAGCACGAGTGGTGACATGGCAGAAGGATGGCCAAGGGGTGCGGAGAGTGTAGAGGCGAGTGCGGGGGCAGAGGGGAATGCGTAGAAGGAAGCGACCAGTGGCGGTGTGGTAGAGGTCATAGTAGGTGGCATTACCTGGATAGACGGCAGTGATACCTGCATTTTGGATTTCGCGGTGGGAGAGGAGGTTGTTTCGGAGGGTGGGGATGTGGAGACCAGCTACCTTACCAGAGGGGAAGAGTGTGCAAGGGAGAGTGGAGAGGTGTGTGCATGGGATGGTAAAGCTGCTGTCAGCGCCGTGAACTTGCGTGGGAGGAGAGAGGGGTGTGAGTGTACCAGCATCCTTGAGAGCGGTCTCAGTGGCCCCACTATCGAGGACAAAGTCCAAAGTGGGTGAGGAGGAGGAAGAGACGGGGTACTGGAAAGTAGTTTCATTAATGGTGGATGGGTACATGGAAGGAAGTGAGGGTGAGATAGCAATGTTGCCAAAAAAGCTCTCTTGGGTAAGAGGAGGGGCAGTGCTACTAGGGGGTGGAGCACCCCAAAGGGGGGGCAGTGAGGCTTGAGCGGCTATGGCAGCTGTGCCAAAATTCAGCTGCTGCTGCTGCCAAGGAGGAGGGCTGGGTCCCCACTGGGGTAGGAGTCCAGTTCCCCATGGGTGCGGCTGGGGCTGCGGCTGCTGCTGCTGCTGTGGCTGCTGATGAATCAGCTGCTGCTGCTGCTGTTGCTGCTGCTGCTGGTGCTGCTGCAGGAGGTGCTGCTGGTGGAGATTAAGGAGCGGTGTGGGGGGAGCAAGGAGGCGGAGGTGGGCAGGGAGGTAAGTGGGGTTGGTTTGGATGTCGGCAAGGGAGGGACGTGGGGAGATCGTTCCCCACTTGGGAGGAGTGCCAACATTGCCCCGCGCGTACCAGGCATCATCGAGAGCCTTGAAGCAAGTGCTAGAGGGATGGTTGGTCTGCCCGCAGGGTGTTCCAGCCCGGGGACCATAGCGACGGACATAGGTGCAGGGCGGAAGAGTGCCAGGACGACTCCCGCGGCCTGCAGAGGCTCCGCCCGAGTTAGTGGTGCCATGCTCATCCCCAGTGGTGCCGCCACGGCTGTTTGTACTGCCGTTGCCCTGACCGCCACCTCCCTTGCCCCCACCTCCCCCTTTACCGTTGTTCCTAGCCTGCTTGCGGGGCTGGGTAGCGTTGAGGGAGGAGGGGGAGGGTTGGGAGGAGGCGAGGTTGACAATGGGAGTGCGAAGTTTGACTTCGGTGTCTATGATCCACTGCTCAACGGAGGCGAGATCGGCCATGGGATTGGCTTCGGTAAAGGCGTGATTCATAGTCTGGGGTGAGGTTAAACAGGAGGCGATGGATTTGGAGGGGTTCGGAGAGGCCGGCTTGGCGGGCTTCGAGGCGATCAGCTACTTCTCTCATATGTCCGACATAGTCGACCGCTCCGTCACATGTAGCGAGGGTGATTGAAAAGTACTCTTGAAAGAGGATGCCAACCAAGCTGATGTCGCGGCGCTCGAACATGGCATGGAGTTCGGCCCAAATGACCGAGGCACGGAGTTCCCGAGCCTGGAAGCGGCGCATGAGGGAGTCAGGGAGAGCACCGAGGAGAATGGTGCAGGCGCGGGTGTCAGCAGTTGTCCAGGCGATGAGGTTTGGGGTAAAGGTAGCCAAGTCGTCGTTGTATTTGGCAACGACGGCAAGATGAGCATTGCGGCCAGCAACTGCCTGGTCATAGGCTTCAACTGCTGCATCGTACTCGGCTTTGCGGATAAGGTATACACGGCGGCGTAAGATGAAGTCTGCATCAGCGGTGGCTTGGTCGACGGTGAGTTGGAGGTCGGGTTCACGAAGAGGATCGCCAGGAGAGGGAGGGAGAGGAGGGGTCTCGCCGGGGTGGTCAGGAGCGGTGGGGGGAGAGCATGGGGACGGCGGAGGACGACGTCAAGGACGCGGTAGGGGGAAACCCATGCATCGGAGAGAACTCGACGAATGCTGCCGATGAAGGAGTGCCAGTTGACGGCGGATTTGTCCGCGGCGAGCTGCAGCTTATCAATAGAGGAGGTATCGATAGGAGGAGGGAGGGTGGAGGGGGAGGGTGTGGCGTGAGCCATGATGGACGGCCGCGGGTGGACCCGCAGTGGTCCCGGAGGGGCGTGAGGAGAGGCGGCGACGAGTCCGTATAGGGGAAGGGCGCGGGCGGCAGTGGCTGTTGAGGCCGCGGGGGCGCTGGTGCGGAGGCGGCGTGGAGGCCGCGGAGGGGAAGGGCGCGGGCGGCAGCGGCTGGCGAGGCCGCGGCGGCGCTGGCGCGGAGGCGGCGTCGAGGCCGCGGAGTGGCGCGGGCGGCGGCTGGCGAGGCCGTGGCGAGGCGCGGAGGCGGCGTCAAGGCCGCGGAGAGGAAGGGCGCGGGCGGCGGCGGCTGGCGAGGCCGCGGCGGCGCTGGCGCGGAGGCGGCGTCAAGGCCGCGGAGTGGCGCGGGCGGCGGCTGGCGAGGCCGCGGCGAGGCGCGGAGGCGGCGTCGAGGCCACGGAGGGGAAGGGCGCGGGCGGCGGCGGCTGGCGAGGCCGCGGCGGCGCCGGCGCGGAGGCGGCGTCGAGGCCGCGGAGTGGCGCGGGCGGCGGCTGGCGAGGCCGCGGCGAGGCGCGGAGGCGGCGTCGAGGCCGCGGAGTGGCGCGGGCGGCGGCTGGCGAGGCCACGGCGAGGCGCGGAGGCGGCGACGAGGCCGCGGAGGGGAAGGGCGCGGGCGGCGGCGGCTGGCGAGGCCGCGGCGGCGCTGGCGCGGAGGCGGCGTTAGGGATGAGCAAATGGCGAACACGAACATGTTCGTGTTCGCCTGGGCTCGAACATGGCTGTTCGGCGAACCGAACACTGTTCGGTTCACCGAACACTTTACACCAGAAAGGGTGTTCGAAGTTCGCCAAGAGAGGCGAACATTTCGTACGTTTTGGCGAACACGAACACGTTCGCCCAGAACATGTTCGCGTTCGCCTTAAAGGACCTTCTCAGATCCAAGTAGAGTGAAATCCAAATGTTTCACATTCCCTCCCCCCACCCCGCAAGCCAGTCCCGCCCTGCTAGAACCGCCCATGCTAGATCTACGCTTAAGCAACGTCGAAATGCTAGATCTACGCTTAAGCAACGGCGAAATGCTAGATCTGAGCTTAAGCAACGGCGAAATGCTAGATCTGAGCTTAAGCAACGGCGAAATGCTTGATCCGCACTTAAGCAACAGCGAAATGCTAGATCTACGCTTAAGCAACGGCGAAATGCTAGATCTACGCTTAAGCAACGGCGAAATGCTAGATCTACGCTTAAGCAACGGCGAAATGCTAGATCTGAGCTTAAGCAACGGCGAAATGCCTTGATCCGCACTTAAGCAACGGCAAAAGGCCTTGATCCGCACTTAAGCAACGACAAAAGGCCTTGATATGAGCCCAAACACCAAGGCCCGCGCCCTAAAAATTGGTCGCGGGCCTATTCGTCGACGAACACATTGGCGTTCGTCGAAGGCCCGTGTCGATCACGAACACGTTCGTGTTCGTCGCGCCTCGGCCAGCTGAGCCGGGTGAACGGCGAACGTGTTCGGGCGAACACCGAACACGTTCGCCCCGAACAATTTTGGCCAAAAAAAAATATTGTTCGGTTCGCCTCGAACGTGTTCGAGGCGAACCGAACAGGTGTTCGTCATATTGCTCATCCCTAGGCAGCGTCGAGGCCGCGGAGTGGCGCGGGCGGCGGTTGGCGAGGCCGCGGCGAGGCGCGGAGGCGGCGTCGAGGCCGCGGAGGGGAAGGGCGCGGGCGGCGGCGGCTAGCGAGGCCGCGGCGGCGCTGGCGCGGAGGCGGCGTCGAGGCCGCGGAGTGGCGCGGGCGGCGGCTGGCGAGGCCGCGGCGAGGCGCGGAGGCGGCGTCGAGGCCGCGGAGGGGAAGGGCGCGGGCGGCGGCGGCTGGCGAGGCCGCGGAGTGGCGCGGGCGGCGGCTGGTGAGGCCGCGGGGAGGCGCGGAGGCGGTGGTGAGGCCGCGGAGGGGAAGAGCGCGGGCGACAGCGGCTGGTGAGGCCGTGGCGGCGCTGGCGCAGAGGCGGCGTCGAGGCCGCGGAAGAGAGTGGCGCGGGCTGCAGCGGCTTGGGAGGCCGCGGAGCTGCGGAGGGAAAGGGCGCTAAAGGGGGGAGGAAGGCGGCGGGATAGCCGAGAGGAAAAAAAATTGAGGGAGGAGGCCGGGGGTTGCGGCGGCCGGGTGGGCTTTTTGAGAGGAGTAGGCCTAGGAATGACAGCTCTATACCATGAGAAAAAGAAAGGCTGAAATGAAGTTGATGATTTGATAGAGAAACAAGGGGGATATATATAGTAAAGGGGTTGGATGCTAGCCTAACGTACCATTATTGGACCCCAACCAAGAAGTTGGGTTGGGAGATTATTGGTGGGGTCCAATAATGTTGGCCAAGTTGGGGTAGGGCCAACATTATTGGAGGGGGCCAATAATTCTACCCAACCCAACTTTTTGGGGTCCAATAATTGGACCAAGGTTGGGTTCCAACCTCCAAACTGGGTTACCCCTACTTGAACACCGAAACTCTGTTTGGGTGCTTATCTCTAGCCTATAACATGTATGCAGGTTACAAGAGGAGATATATTCTAACAGCTCAAGCCTTGGGGGGGGGGGGGGGGGGGGGGGGGGAGGGGGTTTTAGCGCATGGATTAGGTGTGCTGTGGTTGCGGCTGGGTAAGTGTGAGAAGTGAGAGCGAGGTGGTGCCGCAACTTGTTGCTTGGGGCCTGGTTGCTGTGAACAGACTTTTCTGCAGTGGAATCTCTTGTTCCTTCTCCATCCCTCCCTTCGCCCCTACGTGGCGCTCCCCTCCTCCCCCTTCTTCCCACGCATCCCTCCCTTTGCCTGCCGCCACCAGTCTGGGAGTGGTGCTGCTGCAGCTGCTGTCAGGCCGCATTTTTGACACTTCAGGAAGGCCCATGCAAAAGTTTTTCAGAGACACTGTGAGTGCGAGTGTGAGTATTGTGTTCTGAGAGGTAGACATGGACAAATTTCCGACGCCTGTTCGGTTTGTCCGAACCTAAGTTGGTCATTTACGCCATTTCACCCACGTACACGTAACGTACGCGTACATGTACGTTTACGTGTACGTACGCGTACGTACGTGTACGTACGCCGGGCAGGTCAGAAAAAAAAATCCGCGATAAAATTTCTTTGAAAATGGTTTTCGAAAAACTAAAGAATAAAAAAGCTTTCGACGACCCGTGCTCTGTTTGCGTGTTAGCAAAACGGCGCGACGTTTTTCAAAGTAGTAATGTAAGAAACAGGAATGTTGCTAGCCAGGGTTGCTATGGTGTGGCGACTACCCTACGTACTATGTCGACTAAGGCGGTAGAAACTACTTTAGCTAAGTCCGTCGAGAGAGAAAGGGAGGAAATTGTGGTGGGAGTAGATCTGAATGTGTGCAAACTGTTAGCGATAGAACATTGCGAACAGTTTGACTCAGATCGCGATTGCTTTGTTTGCAAGGTAAGCGAATGTCGCCCGCTCGGCAGTTTCGTCACCGCCGAGCTTCACTGGGTCCGGCAAATCCCAACTTCGAGTCAAACCAATTCGCCGAGTCGAATCTAAATTTACACTACAGGATGGAATGTTTACACTATATGATGGAAATCATGATTACGAGGGAGAAGTATAGAGAAAATATACATATTCGGGCAGCCCAGATTCTTTTCACCTGCCCGTACATTAGGCCTCCAACCCAACAGCCGCGTAAACGTACGTACCCGTACACGTACGTACGTAAACGTAAACGTAAATCCATGTTGGAATATACGCGTTTAGCGTATATTTGCGTTTCGTATATACGCTAACGTGTATACGCCATACGCTTAAGGGTCAGATTGGGCATACGCTTTTCCGGGCAGGGAAAACACCTTCCCGGGCAGGGTGAAAAAAACTGCGTGCTCAACATCCGGGAAGGAAGGTACTCCCTACCCTATTCCCAGTAAGACTTCCCTAGCCTTTTCCCGAGTCTGAATGGTGGTTGCGGTGGGATGCGGAGTAGATCGCTAGAAGTAGGAATTGGAAGGAAAGTTGTTGGGAAGCGGGAATGTAAAGTTGAAATCTCGAGTGCAGTTGGGCTGGCTGGCTGGCTGGTAAGTATCGTGAGTGTGAGGTGGTTGGGGGAACACTTTTGACAGGTTGGAGTTTGTAGATAGGATGGGTTTCAATGCGGTACAAATCGAAAGGTCAAGTTGGAACTACCAGAATACTTCAAAAGCACATTCCCGCTTCCCTAGACCGCCGAACTGCATTTCGACTTCGGCAAAATGCTCACAAGGAGAATCCGCAACTTCTCGTATACTTACGATTTTTTTCCCGGGCAGCCCCAAAAAATTCTGAGTGCGTATAGCGTTTTGTGTATATACGCAAGCGTATATACGCATACGCTTATGGGTCTGAGCGTATATTCCAACATAGACGTAAATGACCAACTAAGGTCCGAACATGTTCTTGACCGAACATGTTAGATGTTCGGAAGCCAGAGGGGGGGGGGGGAGGAGGTGGGGTGGGGGGGGTGGGGTGGGGTGGGGGGGGGGAGGGGATGGGACGGGGGAGGTGCTGCCCCCCTGAAAACACACTCACAAACCTCGAACATGTTTCGGGTTCGCCCCGAACATGCAGTGTTCGCCCCCCTATCACTAACCTCGAACACCCTAAATGATCCCCAAGAATGTTCAGGGGTTCGGGCGAACATGTTTGGTGTTCATCCGATGCTCATGCCTCTCAGTGAGAGGCATGCCAGCAGCGCAGTACCTCCATTGCTGGCAGAGTTTCAAGTGGGTTTCTGGTCCGCAGAATTCTCAGAAATTTCCTTCCATTCACCACAGTGATAAGGGAGCAGAAGGCTCAACTAGGCATGATCATCCTGCCCCGGCGGGTCGGGTCGACCCGACCCGACCCGGGTTTTGACCCGGGTCGGGTCAGGCATTTTGAAGCGCTGACCCGGCCGGGTCGGGTCGGGTTTACCCGGTCGGGTCGGGTCGACCCGACACCCGAAACCGGGTCGGGTCGGGTCGGGTCAGATTTAGACCCGAAGTCGTACCCAACCCGGTTTCGGGTACCGCGCCCTAAGTCGGGTCGAGTATTTGGCCCAACCCGACTTTTCCTCCCTCGACAAGTTGCACTAAAGCAGATCGCGAAGTCAATGTCTAGGGTTTGTTTGTTCCCTCGACATTGACATTCCCTCGACAAGTTGCACTAAAGCAGATCGCGAAGTCAATGTCTAAACCCTAGACCGGAGCTGCTGTAGTAATCCATTACCTAACTGCTGCTGTAGTAGGTCATCGTCAAAGTGAAGAGGAAGAAATCGAACGCAAAGATTATTGAAGGGAAAAGCGGCCTGACATTGAGTGAGTCTGGTAGAAGTTGGCAACAAATTGGATGGGGTGAAGGTGGGTTGTGAGCGGTGGATAAGAGGGAATGATCCACCAACAATCTCGAAATTCAGATCTGAAGTTGCTTTAGCAATGCGCGAACTCAGATCTGAATTTCGAGACTCAAATTTGAGTTCGCCAGATCGCGAACTCATCTTATTATTTTTTCTGGTCACCCGAGCCAAATTTGGCGAATTTTAGAAAAATCCGCAGCGTACGAATTCTAAATGCGTATAAACTCAATACGCAACTTGAAACTAGCGTTTTTTTCCAACTTAGGAACCTCTTACCCTGCATATGGGGTCCTGGCCCGACCCGACCCGACCCGGCCCCTACCCGACCCGACCCGGGGGCGGGTCACGCCTGACCCGGCACCCAATACCCGGGTCGGGCCAGGATTTTTTGAAGTTTCGACCCAACCCGACCCGACCCTGAACCCGGCTGGCCCGCCCAAGTCGGGTCGGGTCGGGTCGGGTCGGGCCTAATGATCATGCCTAGGCTCAACCACCCACAGGTGCGGCCAACAGGAGACCCCTCCTCTCCTATCTTTCCTTACCGCTAGTGGATTTTTGGGTTGCGAAGCAACCCTTTACAATCGATTTTGACAAATTTTCTTTTCATGTTTTTATTTAACATGAAAATAAAATTCGTAAGCTACAGTACCACCCTTCCCATTGTGCATATATTAATTTCTTTTTTTTATTATAGTAGTTTTTTGCCTATATGCTATACTGTTTGCGTTTTATGTTTTACTGCTTGCCGTTGTTGTGATAATTGCATGTAAAAAAAATTACGAATATGAGTAATGAAGTACATACCACGCATGCTTAAATGAATGTAATGCGGCAAGATATATAGATGCATAATACTGATACATGGATGAAAATGCTTTTCCATGAAGCGAAATGCTGAAATGCAACATACGGGATATCATACAAATGCGTGATAGTTAACGACCCAAAAACTAGGCTACCGCATCCCCTGCCTAGCATGGGGGGGAAGTCAATAGCAAAGTCTTTGAATAATAAACCAACACATGAAAAAATGCAATCTGTTAACTCTAAAAAAGAGGTTCACACTATCAAATCCAGTTCGAAGTGGCAAACACACGAGTCACTGAGTGCGCCAATGAACCAATGAGAAATGATAGAAATGAACCCCTTTTTTTAAATTGACAGACATGCATTAATATTGCAATGATCAATGAGATGAATGCACTCTCACAATCAAACACATTCACACAATCAAAAGCACAAACAACAGCAAACCCAGCCAAAACACGCGATAATAAATAACATGCAAATCAACATTAAATGGACAATATGACAAGATAAATCCTGAAAGTGACCGATACACATTTTCCAGATTCAAATCCCCTTCCTGAGCAGCAAGACTCCTGAGAAACGGGTTTAGAATGTAGAAAGGAGGAACGAAAGAAATAGTCGGTACAAAAAAAAAACAGAAAAGGAAATGAGGTGTGATGAAATGACGAGATGCAGGAATAACCAAGAAACGAATGAAACAATACAAGGGCTAAGAAAAACGCCGTGAGCATTGAAAGGTTAGAGCCGACAAATAGAAAGGAGGTACAGAGGCATAAAACGAAAGTAAGGAACGGGAACAGAGGGAAAACACATAAGAGCTAGGTCGTACGGAATGAACGAACGAAGGAGGACATGAAGACCATGCAAGAGGATGTGAAACCGAAAATTAGAGAAAATAGGATGTGAGATGACGGACTGAAAGAAGAAGAGAAGAGATTAGGAAGAAATACGAACTGGAATATCTAAATAAAAAAACGGAATATGTAAACGGAGAATGCGCAGGACGCTGAGTGTCATCATCGGCATCTAAGAATAGAGGAAGTAAAGCTTACCTAAGAAGCTGTAGGTGAGAGTGGCGGCCTCTCCCTTAGCGCGCCTGGCACGAGCAAAAAGTCACCAACGCGCCAAGCACAAGCAGAACGATTCCAGCAAGAAGTTACAAGAGGGAAAACAAAAGAGAAACACGGACGGAGAGAAAATGAGAAGAGAGATAACAATAGCGGATGGAGAGAGAAGGAAAGGAGAAAGACATACGGAACCTTGAATATGCAACAAAACAGGAGTAACAAGGTAGCAAAAACGAAGGCATGATACAAAAAAAACGGAAAGGTAGTCTTCACATGACGAAGGCATGATCTCGAGTTAACTTTCTCCTAGTCAACTTAAGTAGGCTAACGATAGTCTTAACAAACTAGCAACACTTGCTATTCCTACTCTTCCAGCTGCTGCTACTCTCTTACCTAGAAACTGGAATAGCGTGACAGACAGGAGTGGTTGGAGAAGAAGCAGAGGAAAGGAAAAGAAGGAACGTGAAAAACCTAACCACCTCATTCGTCGCGTAAAAATCATCTAATGAAAATACGAATGAGTATCGACGGGTTTAACACAATGGTTTGAGTTTGGCCTCAGAATCGGAAGGTTGCAGGATCGATTCTGGTAGTCGAAATTTACCCACAGAAAATTTTGTAGTTAAATCTCAATGAAGATTGTTCAGTTTTTGAACATCAAATACAACGTATACAACTAGACAAATAGCTTCGCAACCCTAGGTCGACTTTGTCGCCTCTTGTTTTTGTTTTTTTTTTCACTGCCTGCCTTTTCCTCCTCCTATCCCTCGTGATCCTCCCCTCATTCTCCTCCCCTCGTGCTCCTCTCCTCGTGCTCCTCCCCTCATGCTCCTTCCTCCATGCTCTACCCTCAATCTGTGTTGGAAACCATGCGTCTCACGTGTTATACCCTGGCGTATATACGTTGGCATATAATTCGTGATGCACTCGTTCAGGGGTATGGCAGTACGCCCGAAATATGTTCCGCATGCAGGGTTTTTTTTTTTCGGGGAAGAATATAGAAGATACTTCGTCGAGTTAGAAGCCTCAGGTGAAGGACCAGCAGGCACATCCATACTTGGTGCTAGGCTTGAGAAGCCAAGCTGTAGCTAGGAAGATCTAGCTGTTGTGTTTGGGTTGGAGTTGGGAGATATGGTGAGATTTTGTGCGGTTGGATGAAGCCCACGTTTAGGGCTCAACAAATTTGAGATTTGTATTCGAGTCCGCACAATTTGAGTCGTGTAGGAAACTTGAAATACGCCTTTTTTGTTTTTTCCCTCCCTGCAGCGCGCACATTTTCGAGCGTATTATCATTTGTATGGCGCATGGCATATATACGCCATGCGCCTTACGTGCCTACCGAATTTTTTAACTTAGCCCTCAATACCCCACCCTCCGTGCTCCGGCCCCTCGATAATCCATCGCCTATGTTCCTCCGCTCCCCCCTTGCTCCGTCTTCCCTGCCTCTCCCCCTCTCTCCATGCTTCTCCACCATCATGTTTCCCAGCATCTACCCACTCTAAGTCATACTTTGTCTGCCTTTGGGTTCATGAGTCTGAAGTCAGCTTCTGACTTCCCTCCCTGCCCTTCACCCCACCCCACGTTGAAAAGCAGCTTGAAGCCAACAACTTGGCTGCTCTATTTGATCCTGCCCTCGCCTCCTCCTTCCTCCCATCCACCACCAATACCAGCACCAGCATCCCTAGCAGCAGCCCCACCAGCAGCTCCAGCACATTCTCTAGCGCTGCCAGCACTACCACGGCAAGCACAGAAGCTGCCAGTGCTGCTGATTCACTGGGCGTTCCCATACCGAATGTTCTTATACCCAGTCTGAAGCGGCTGGCTCGTGTCGGGCTTGCATGCACAGACATGCCGGCCTCCACCCGGCCCTCCTTGGGAAAAGTTATTGCTGAGCTGGAGATTGTGCAGGATGATGTGGCAACAGCACTGATGAAGATGGAGGAAGAGTTGAAAGAGGGAGAATGGGGATGGCAGAGAGGGAGGGGTGCTGTGGTCGCCCGCTCCTCCTCCCCGGCGCCGCTGCTGTGCCAGCAGGTGGCCATGGCGGACGTGCTGCGTGCGACGGCCGGGTGGGCGAAAGAGAGGTGCATTGGCAGCGGCGGGTTTGGTGACGTGTATCGCGGAGTGAGCCCGCTTGATGGCCGCACGTCCTGGGCTGTGAAGCGCTCCAGAGTGTTTTGTAACGACTTCCGCCGCAAGGTGGGTTGGTAGTGATATGTGTATTGTCAGTCGACTCAAAGTGCGCATGATGGCCGCACGCCCTGGGATGCCCACTAGAGTGATCATTAACGACTTCCGCCGCGAGATGGGTTGGTGGGATGGTGTGGTTGGTGGGATGGTGTGGTTGGTGGGATGGTGTGGTTGGTGGGATGGTGTGGTTGGTGGGATGGTGTGGTTGGTGGGATGGTGTGGTTGGTGGGATGGTGTGGTTGGTGGGATGGTGTGGTTGGTGGGATGGTGTGGTTGGTGGGATGGTGTGGTTGGTGGGATGGTGTGGTTGGTGGGATGGTGTGGTTGGTGGGATGGTGTGGTTGGTGGGATGGTGTGGTTGGTGGGATGGTGTGGTTGGTGGGATGGTGTGGTTTGTTGGTGTGATGGGTGGGATGGTGAGGGTTGATGTGAATGGGATGGGGGTGAGAGTAGGGGTGGAGTAATGAGGGCTGTGAAGCACGCCAGAGTGCTCACCAACAACTTACGCCGTGAGGTGTGGTTGCTGGGATGCTGCGGATTGATGGTTTTGGGATGGGGGGTGAAAGCAGGGGCGGAGTCATGAGAGATGTAGTGCCCAGCAGCAATGAGAGATGTAGTGCCCAGCAGCACTGAGAGATGTAGTGCCCAGCAGCAATGAGAGATGTAGTGCCCAGCAGCACTGAGAGATGTAGTGCCCAGCAGCACTGAGAGATGTAGTGCCCAGCAGCACTGAGAGATGTAGTGCCCAGCAGCACTGAGAGATGTAGTGCCCAGCAGCAATGACGGCGGAGGCCAACGGCTTCAGATAGAGGCCAATATGCATATAGATGGAGCGGAGTTAGGGAATAAATGACGCGAAATGCATGAGGCATGAACCATTGATTGATTATGTGTTCTGCCTCTGCGTGCCCCTCCCCCACCCACCCTCCTCAACCTCTCCCCCCATCGTACCCTATCCATGATTCCCCCCCCTAACTCTGTTCGGGTGGTGCCTCACTCCATGCCTCACTTTAGATCGACGAGATAGCATCGAAGCACCACCCTCACCTGGTGCGGCTGCTGGGCTATTGCGTGGACTATGACGCGGCGGCGGAGAGCATGGAGCAGATCGCCATCTACGAGTTCATGCCCAACGGGGACCTGCACCACCGCTTGCATGGCGATGGTGACACAGGTGAGCACCACCTCATGCATGGTGATGACATAAGTGGGCATGCATGGACTCTTAGGCTTCTCACAAGTGGGCACCACCGCATGTGCGGCGAACACACGGGCACATACGGACTCCCAGGTGTCTTACGGGTGTGGGATCAACAGCGAGTTGGAAGCTGTGCTGTGCTGTGCTGCAGCAGAGGGTGTGGAATCAATTGTGAGGGAGTGGGAGCGAGAACAAGGGGGGGGAGGCGAGAGAGGGATGTGGGAAGGAAGGGAATGCAAGCTTTTTGGAGGAGAGGGAGGCAAGGCTGATGGTGACGGTGCCCCTTGTATGGTGAAGGTGTTGGATACATAAGTATTTTTTTTGTATTTCAATCTGCCGATGTCATCGTATGCGGCGTGTTTTAGAAGCTTAGTTTGATTGAGCTGATGAGTAAAGCGAGTCGTCTAGAATCGTGATGAAGTCAACTCTTCCTTCGGCCAATAGGAGCTGCTGGTGGTGTTCACAGATCGAGATTGACCCTCGAGTGTTATTGGTGAGAAGATAACTACTACAACGGGAGCTAGACTACGGGCTAGGCACGGGTGCTCGTGTGATCTCTGCGTCCGTTGGTCCTTAGTCGTTTTCCTAGTGGACACACTGTTTGCTAGTTCACGGGGCAAGTTGGCAAGGGTTTCACTAAGAAAGGTTGACAACAATGGTACAATAAAGTTGGCATAGCAAGACTACATCAGAGCTAGCATTCAGGTCGGTCGACTGCCAGCGCAGCTCGATCGACCGCGTTCCAGCACGACTTACTCGACGCCCAACTACTCGGCGTCCTGAGTCAAGGTCGACGTCGGCCCCTCCGCCGTCGACCACCAGGTCAGGTCGACCACCGGGTCAGGTCGACCACCAGCAGGTCGACCAGCAGGCCTGGTCGACCAACCACGAGGTCGACCAGCAGTCCGTCAGCCAACCACCGAAGTCGGCTTCCCCAAGTTGACTTCACGAATCAGTAAAGAAACTGACCCTAAAACACGTTTTTGCTATTTTTTTTTTTTTTTTTTTCTGAATTGTTGAATACATCAAAGGGACAATGTATACAAACAATAGCAGTCGTAACTGACGTTAAGAAATCGCTAACTGCAAAACCGTATACAACAGTCAATGTTGTAAATTTTGAGCAACTGCCAAGTTAGGTTACAGGTGCATGTGCGTGTGGTTTCACCTGTCGTTGCTGACTAAGCAAGACACCGGCTTAGTCCCTGCAGAGGTTCATTGTTTTTGCTATTGGTTCTCCTTGCTTGTACCATATTCTTGTTCGATCAATTTTCCTAGTGAAACTATGATTGAATTGTACAAGGGCAACCAAACACTCTGTCGAGAATCACTGACAAAGCTCTGTCCGTGCGCATCACGCTATCCAGCTCTCCTGTAAATTAGCATTCTTTGCAGTGGGGAGTGACGCGAGTGTTACCTGATCACGGATCGAGCTCTGCTTCGGTGGCGAAATCAGCGAAGTGATCAACGTGAGCTTTGTTACTCGCGTCTGAACACTGCTGAGACATTGAACTCGCAAAACCGTTCGATCATCGCACGTGTCGAGCAATATTTCGTCAACGGCGTGAGAAGTTCCATTGTTCGCGACCCCGCAATTCAGCTCGCGCGGTTGGGCCAACAGAGCTTGCTACTGGAGCGACGAGTTACCCTGCACACAGTTTGAACAGACTGATCCAAACCGGTTTAGAAACGGCACAAATATTATACTTGGATCGGGACCGTCAAAATAAAAGCCACGCGAACATTTGAAACAATGTCTCGCTGGCGAACCGCGAGCCCGGCAGGTCACGAAACATGAGGCTGCAATTTGTAGTTTAGCACTTATGGTAGACTATATGCTTTGAATTGTATGCCTTGCAAAATTGAAAAATACAACTTGGTTGAAAAAGCTCTCCTCGAAACCGTGCTAAAGTTAACCGAGCTACAGATATTCTGCCCACGCCGACGAAGGAGAAGAGCTGACTTGCTACTCAGGACTCGTATTCTCTCGACACATTCGGACCCTTTGATTAGGGGCTGACTTCGGTCAGGCACCCAGGGACCCTTGAAGTTGACCACAAGGAGAGGAGTTTCTTGAGCTATTAAGGTTGGCAGTAGTGGAAAATTGTAATTTTTACTTTTTATGAACAACAGGAAGGGCAACTTTGCCTGCCCCAACTCTTGCTGCTCTTGCTCCTCTCGATATAGGCTTGTCTGAATTTTCTTCCGACCCCTTTCCATTTCTTCTCTTTTTTCAATTTGCATCAGGTAATAGCACCCCCCTGACCCTGCAACAGCGGTTGGACATTCTGATAGGAGTGGCGCGCGCGCTGGAGTATCTGCACAGCTTTAACATCGTGCATCTCAACATCAAGCCCGCCAACATCCTCCTGGACTCCAACATGCAGGCAAGTGCGTTTTTCGAGTGCGTGCGCTGATGGGCATTTCGTGAGGAGCAAAACCTCATGCTGGTGCGTTCTCTCCACTAAAAGCCAATGTTCTCTGCATCTGGACAAGCCGTGACTTCGTAACACGTCACTCCATGAGGATCACTCTGTCACTGATTCATGCAGAGCACGGTGCTCTCTTCTCCCTCCTGCAGGCAAAACTGGCAGACTTTGGCTTGCCGATAATGGACGAGGGCAGCGGGTCACCGGAGTCCACAATAGTGGTAGCACGAGGGCGCGTCTTTGGCTGTGCACTGGGCTCTGTGGTGGACTTTGACGATTCACGCAACGCCACTCCGCGTGCCGATGTGTACAGGTAGGAAGACGTGTGCATTTGCACATGTGCATATGCTGCCCTTTTATGCTCTCTGCCCAAGTATGCCTGTCGTCGTCTCTCGTCCACTCAGGTGCTCTCTTCTCGCTATAGTGCTTTCGTTGCACATGGTTGCTTGCTTGCCTTCATTGCTCATGGTTCCATATGGGAAAGATCAGCAAGAGAGGCATTATACACCTCTCGAATGGTCCTAATATTGATTTTTCGACAAGTACAGGCATTATATACCTCTCTCTCTCACTAATGGTCCTGATATTGATTGTTCAAACATAGTGCAGGCGGAGGGATGGGCATGCAAGGTGAATCGTTCTAGTCTAGCTTATAGTAAGCATCAAAGCCACCTACGCTACGCCCAGTACTGGACTCAACAAGGGGTTCCAGCACGTCAAAGCAGTCCCCAAGGGACAGTTTGGCCTCTGTTCCTCCTACAGCCGGGTTTTTTTGCCACCGCTGCCAAGTTGGATTTGATGAGGTAGCCAACGGACTGGCACTCCTGCCAAGTTGGATTTCCGCACGTGGCCATCCGCATGTCTCTACGGCTAAGGGGAAGAAGCCGACGTCATCAGTTCAGTTCCCGCACTGGGAGATCTTCTTAGCCGCCTGTTCTCTCTAGCCCATTCCCTCCCTTTGGTTGCCTCGGGGTCTATTGTGCTGATTGGGTCTGTGATTGTCACGTCACCGACCCAAACCGCTCCCAAGCTCTTTTCTCGGATTGCAAGGTATGTGTTTTGTTCCTCGACCGGACAAAAGGCTGTCGTTTCCTATGGACGGTGAATCCTGTATCCTTTTGCCATGCTGATGCATGTGTCCCTCAGTTCGTTGTGGGTGGTGGTCCTGGCCTTGCTGGTGCCGCATCGGAACAGGTTGGTTGGGCAGCCGTCGGTCTGGCATGGCGACTTGCTTTGCGCGGCCACACTTGTTTGGTGCTGAGAAGGGCAAACCGAGTCTGAACTAAACTGCATTTGCAAAGCGCTTCGGGCTCGATCTCCTGGACGGCACTATGGTATGACGAGCAACCAGTCCCCGGCTCCGCATCCAGCGAGTGAGAACAGGCGTTGTGTATGGCTTGAGAGGGGGTTCAGCCGCGTGCGCCTCAACACTCAAGGTGAGTGCGTGTTGTAGCTTCATTCCCACCGGCTCACTCATGCCTCTCTTTTTGAATGAGTTCCAGCACGTCTGCTGGTAGGCCAGTTCACATTCCGCGAGCCAGGCGTGAAAGGGGGTAGTGACATCACGCGGTAATGTCAGCAGTGTCTTGACCATGCCCAGTGGCCCATCTGGCGTCAGCGATAGTGACTTGAGTAGGTGTGCCGCCTGAGTGAAGCTCACTAAGAAACCGCACAGCCCTTCAACTGTGGGGTCCAACAGGCCCCTCCGAGCGAGGGCGGGAGTGATGCCTGCTCCCAAACTCCCTTCAAGTGTGGGCTCTGACATCGCCGTGGGGAAGGCGGGTGCCGCACGCTGTAAGTAGTGTGGTAAGGAGGTCCTTCCTCCATTGTGACCACGTGGCACGGGGAGGGAGGTTGAGGGGGGTTGTTTGTGTGAGGTATGACACTCGCCGAAAGATGCAGTGGGTAAGTAGTAGGGATGCCAACTGTGGGTCTGTCTGTGCCAGGGGGGGAGGAGGCTTCGCCATTCCCCTCAGTTGGCAAGACAACTGCGCCCGCGTTGGTCCCGATGCAGTTGGGGCTCCACCACAATGTGTGCCGCGTGGACGTAACACAGCCCAGCCCCACCAGCAGACACCTGGACGTAACACAGCCCAGCCCCACCAGCAGACACCTGGACGTAACACAGCACAGCCCCACCAGCAGACACCTGGACGTAACACAGCCCAGCCCCACCAGCAGACACCTGGACGTAACACAGCCCAGCCCCACCAGCAGACACCTGGACGTAACACAGCCCAGCCCCACCAGCAGACACCTGGACGTAACACAGCCCAGCCCCACCAGCAGACACCTGGACGTAACACAGCCCAGCCCCACCAGCAGACACCTGGACGTAACACAGCCCAGCCCCACCAGCAGACACCTGGACGTAACACAGCCCAGCCCCACCAGCAGACACCTGGACGTAACACAGCCCAGCCCCACCAGCAGACACCTGGACGTAACACAGCCCAGCCCCACCAGCAGACACCTGGACGTAACACAGCCCAGCCCCACCAGCAGACACCTGGACGTAACACAGCCCAGCCCCACCAGCAGACACCTGGACGTAACACAGCCCAGCCCCACCAGCAGACACCTGGACGTAACACAGCCCAGCCCCACCAGCAGACACCTGGACGTAACACAGCCCAGCCCCACCAGCAGACACCTGGACGTAACACAGCCCAGCCCCACCAGCAGACACCTGGACGTAACACAGCCCAGCCCCACCAGCAGACACCTGGACGTAACACAGCCCAGCCCCACCAGCAGACACCTGGACGTAACACAGCCCAGCCCCACCAGCAGACACCTGGACGTAACACAGCCCAGCCCCACCAGCAGACACCTGGACGTAACACAGCCCAGCCCCACCAGCAGACACCTGGACGTAACACAGCCCAGCCCCACCAGCAGACACCTGGACGTAACACAGCCCAGCCCCACCAGCAGACACCTGGACGTAACACAGCCCAGCCCCACCAGCAGACACCTGGACGTAACACAGCCCAGCCCCACCAGCAGACACCTGGACGTAACACAGCCCAGCCCCACCAGCAGACACCTGGACGTAACACAGCCCAGCCCCACCAGCAGACACCTGGACGTAACACAGCCCAGCCCCACCAGCAGACACCTGGACGTAACACAGCCCCACCCGCACACCCGTCACCGCAACATAGCCCAGCCCCACCAGCAGACACCTGGACGTAACACAGCCCAGCCCCACCAGCAGACACCTGGACGTAACACAGCCCAGCCCCACCAGCAGACACCCTATTAACGGGAGTCCCCTTTTCGCGAAATGTGTGATGGGAAGGCCGATGCACCTGAGGTACGCTCGCCGTGGAATGTGACGTCATCAGCCTGATGCCAGGCTGAGCACCGACGGGTAAGCTGCTGGCGCGTAGTGCTGGGTGAATGCCGGCTGCGGAGAGCAGAGGTCCCAAAGGATCTTCTTGGCACACGCCGTGTTCACTGCTTAGGGGTGTGCTGTTGCCGGCGGCAAGATGTAGCAGTGAGGGATGGCCGTAGGGCAAGCGCGCCAAGGGCAGCGAAGGCCTAGGAGCAGAATCCTTGAGGGCTGAGACTATGCATGGCTTGGCGTGAAATGCTGTTGAAGGTGTTCGCAAGGTCAGTTTGGAGGACGACGCACTCTGGGTCAGCGTCCGCGCCAAGTGTACTATTGCTTCTCCGCCACCTGTGACTGCTACTCCAAACTGCAGCGGGAGGAAGTAGCTTCTTCCATCAGGGTGAGTGCTGCCTTGGCAGCAAGGCGCATGATGCTCTACCCTATGGCAATTGGACGTGCGTCTACATCTGGGTTGACTAGTGCTATGAGGCGGGACGAAGTCAGGAGTTTGGCGACTGGTTGTGACAATTGCCTCCTAACAACGTGTTTGTCAGCGCATGCAGGTGGGTGCAGACTGAGTCTTTTCTCAGTGAGGCATCGCGAAGGTGCTCAAATGTCATTCCTGATGGCACTAACAGCAGGTCGTCGTTAACGGCTAGGTCGTCGCTCACCATCTGGATACCGGCTCACCATTTGGTTACCGGCTCACCATTTGGTTACCGGCTCACCATTTGGTTACCGGCTCACCATTTGGTTACCGGCTCACCATTTGGTTACCGGCTCACCATCTGGATACCAGCTCACCATCTGGTTACCAGCTCACCATCTGGTTACCGGCTCACCATCTGGTTACCAGCTCACCATCTGGTTACCAGCTCACCATCTGGTTACCAGCTCACCATCTGGTTACCAGCTCACCATCTGGTTACCAGCTCACCATCTGGTTACTGGCTCACCATTTGGTTACCGGCTCACCATTCGGTTACCGGCTCACCATTTGGCTATGTTAGGAAAGACGTGTCCTGCGTCCTGGACGAATGCGTCCAGACGCAGGACGTGTCACCTGGACCTGTAAGACGCACCAAAAGACGCAATCTCGGGCAGGGCAAAAAAAAACCCCCGGGCAGGCCAAAAAAAAGTGTATAGGGCTTGGCAGAGGGGGGGGGGGGGACGTACCACACTTTTCAATGCAAATTTTTCCCCAACCTCAATTTTTTCCCCCAAAATTTTTTTACTAAGGTGAGTCACGCGTCACGCATGGGTTGTGAGTGAATTCTCAATTTGCATGAGTTGTTATGAAATGTTGGGGGGGGCTGGTTTACAATGGCGAATTGGGCTTTGGGGGTCGAAATTTCGCGATTTCCACATTCGTGCCGAAATCGCGAATGTCGAAATCGCGGAAAACAATTTTTTTTTTCGGGCTGCCTGAAATTTTTTTCGCCGTGCGTCCTGCGTCTGGACGCGCGTCCTGCGTCCTAGCGTCCGGACGCTGCGTCCAGACGCAGGACGCAGCGTCCTGGCTGCGTCTTTCCTAACATAGCCATTTGGTTACCGGCTCATAATTTGGTTACCGGCTCACCATTTGGTTACCGGCTCACCATTTGGTTACTGGCCCTAGTGCTTCCTCTCCAGCCCGCGGTGTTCGCAACTCCAGTTCAGGGCATTATGAACGGATGTTTCTACAGTGGAATCACTTGGTTCCAAAGTTTTTCTGAATAACCAACTGAGTGCACATGAAGGCTGGTTTGTTGCTCTCATTGTCATGCCCAGCACCATACTCCGCTCTCAACTCTCTGTACTGCCCTACACTTGATCCCCCTCCCTTCGCCCCTGTGTTCCACTCCCCTCCCTTTGCCCCTGTGTCCCACTCCCCTCCGCCCCCTTCATCCCCGCTCCTCCCCTAATTCCGCCCATCCCCTGCCCGTCGCCTCCAGTCTGGGAGTGGTGCTGCTGGAGCTGCTGACAGGCCGCAGTGCCGTCACTCCAGGGAATGCCATGCGAAAGAATCTCAGAGACAGTGTGAGTGCGAGTGGAGCATTCTGAGAGGAATGGCAGCAGCTCAGTACCTCCATCGCTACGTGTTTCAAGTGTGATTTTGGCCCGGCAATTTCTCAGAATCCTCCTTCCGTTCACAACAGTGGTTAGGCAGCAGGAGACCCAACTAACCACTGGTACGGCCAACATGCACCAGAAATATGTGCGCTGCATTTTTTGTGTAAACGCTGGAGAAAACGCTTGGGCGGACTGGGAAACAAAAAACACAGCAGAAGCTGGGTTTGAGCTCGCGACATGGTGAACTAAAATTCGGCCTTTGTAAATCGCGGTCTCAACTTCGAATTTGAGTTTCGAATCAGATCCACAACAAAGCTGTTTACCATTGTGCAACCCACTCCACCCCATTCATCCAATTCCTTCCAACTCATAGCATGAATGTGGCTCATTCCTCCATTTGGTAATCATCCTTTGGACTTTTTCCCTCGTTCCTATCGACGAGTATTACTAAAGTTCCTCCGAATCCTATCTTTCCTTATCGCAACTGGGAACTGTTTTTTTTTTGTTTTGCTTTGTTTTACTGCCTGCCTTTGCTTCCTCCCATCCCTCATGCTCCTCCCCCAATGCTCCCCCCTCCATGCTTCGCCTCCAACCTGTTTCCCAGCATCACCCACTTCTCTTGGTCATAGTGTCCCTGTTTTGGGGTTCATGTTTTGGGGTTCATGTTTTGGGGTTCATGTTTTGGGGTTCATGTTTTGGGGTTCATGTTTCAGTTCTCAAGTCAGCATCTGACTTCCACTTCCTGCCCTTCACCCCACACCAGGTTGAATTGCAGCTTCAAGCCAACGACTTGGCTGATCTATTTGATCCTGCCCTCGCCTCCTCCTTCCTCCCATCCACCACCAATACCAGCACCAGCATCCCTAGCAGCAGCCCCACCAGCAGCTCCAGCACATTCTCTGGCGCCGCCAGCACCACCACGGCAGGCACAGCAGCTGCCAGCGCTGTCGGTACTACACTTGGCGTTCCTATACCGAATGTTCTTATACCCAGTTTGAAGCGGCTGGCTCGTGTCGGGCTCGCAAGCACAGCCATGCCGGCCTCCACCCGGCCCTACGTGGGAAAAGTTATTGCTGAACTGGAGATTGTGCGGGATGACGTGGTAACAGCACTGAGGCAGATGGAGGAAGTGGTGGAGAGGCAGAAAGGGGAATTGCAGGAAGGGAGGGATGCCATGGCAGGCAATCTGGGAAATGAGCATTTGGACTCGCGGGGCAATCCTTCCCACACTAACCCTTCCTCCACATCTCCCACTCCTTCCACTCCTCCTCCTCCTCCTCCTCCTCCTCCTCCTCCTCCTCCTCCTCCTCCTCCTCCTCCTCCTCCTCCTCCTCCTCCTCCTCCTCCTCCTCCTCCTCCTCCTCCTCCTCCTCCTGTGGTCGCCCGCTCCTCCTCCCCGGCGCCGCTGCTGTGCCAGAAGGTGGCCATGGCGGACGTGCTGCGTGCGACGGCCGGGTGGGCGAAAGAGAGGCGCGTTGGCAGTGGCGGGTACGGCGACGTGTATCGCGGCGTGAGCCCCTTGGATGGCTGCACGCTCTGGGCTGTGAAGCGCGCTAGAGTGCTCACCAACGAATTCCGACGCGAGGTGTGGTTGGTGGGATGGTGGGGATTGATGTCAATGGGACGGGGGTGAGAGTAGGGGCGGAGTAATGAGAGACGTGCCCAGCAGCAATAACGTCAGAGGGCAACGGCTCCAGAGAGAAGCCAAGATGGACTTCAGTGGTAGCCAAGTTGGCGAATGAATGAAGGGAAATGCGAGAGGCATGAGCTATAAATCTAATTCTGTGGTTCGCCCCTGCGAGGGTTCCTTCCCACTCCATGTCCCCCTTTTTCCCCTACCCTCTTCGATCTCTCCTCCCATTCTACCTTATCCTTCCCCCCGTGCCTCACTTCATTGGGGTGGTGTCAGATCGACGAGATGGCATCGAAGCACCACCCTCACCTGGTGCGGCTGCTGGGCTATTGCGTGGACTATGACGCGGCGGCGGATCACATGGAGCAGATCGCCATCTACGAGTTCATGCCCAACGGGGACCTGCACCACCGCTTGCATGGCGATGGTGACACAGGTGAGCACCACCTCATGCACGCCCGTGACACAGATGGGCACCCTCGGGCTCTTACGCGTCTCACAAGAGGGCGCACACGGACAGGCACTGAGGATAGAGCTGATTGCAGCGTGGGGTGTGGGACCGACAACAAGGGGGGGAGTGGGAGCAAGAAGAAAAGAACGGAGGAGAGGAGAGGGATGAGGGACGGAAGGGAATGCAAGCTTGTAGGAGGAGAAGTGTCAAGGTTGATAGTGGCTGTGCAAATTATGTGAAGGGACGGCAAGTTTGCCTGCTCCACCTCCTCTTGCTGCTTTAGCTCCTGCCTATGTTTTCTTCTGATCCCTTTCCATTTCTTCTCTCTTATCTTCCTCTCTTCTGTTTTGCTTGTTAGGTAATATCACCCCCCTGACCCTGCAGCAGCGGCTGGACATTCTGATAGGAGTGGCGCGTGCGCTGGAGTATCTGCACAGCTTTGGCATCGTGCATCGCGACATCAAGCCCGCCAACATCCTCCTTGACGCCAACATGCAGGCGAGTGCATGTGCTGATGGGCATGCAGGCGAGTGCATGCACTTATGGGTATCACATGAGAAGCCAACATCTCATGCAGGTGCCTTCTCTCCACGAACCACCAACTCTCTTTGGATTTGGATAAGCAGTGACTCTGCAACAGTGCGGATCCCTCTGTGTCTGTTTCTTCCTTCTCCATCCTGCAGGCGAAACTGGCAGACTTTGGTTTGCTGAGGGTGGGCGAGGGCAGCTGCTCACTGCAGTCCACACAAGTGATGGGCACACCGGGCTATGTTGACCCCGTCTATAGTATCACTCATAAGGCCACTATAAGTGCTGATGTTTACAGGTGGGAAGGGGTGTGCACACGTGCATATGCTGTCCATTTATTTTTTTCTTAATTTGCCCAAGTACGCATGCCCTCGTCTCTTGTCTCACTCAGATGCTCTCTTTCACTATGGAGCGTTCGTTGCACATAGTTGCTCGTTAAGAGCCACTCATTCGACCTGTCCTGCACACCTCTTTCTTATCTTGTTTGAACCTCCTTTCTGCTTTCTACCCTCTCTCTCTTTCGCTCTTGCTCCGTCACTCTCTCCCCTCCTGCCTTCGTCCGTCTGCTCACTCCCCCGTCCCTCTCCCCGCCACTGCTCTCCCCAGCTTTGGAGTGGTCATGATGGAGCTGCTCACCTGCAAGCGTGTCGTGATGCCATGTGAAGATGGATCACACATCCACATCAAGGACTGGGTACGCTGCTAATTCTTCTTTCTTACAACTATCAATCCCCTTCCCTGACTTTCTGTGTGTGGGAAAATGTTCGTTCACACCGCAGTTGTTTGTTTCATGGAAACCCTTCAATACACCCTCCCCTCTCACTCTCTCCGTCTCACTTCTTTCTTCCAACCCCCCCTCACTTTCCTCCTTGTCCTTCTCCCAATGCCCCTTCCTTGTCCACTCACCCCCTCCTTCCAACACCTTCTCTCACCCTCCCCCTTTCTCTTCCTCCCTTTATTGACAGGTAGAGCAGCAGGTGGAGGGAGGGGACATTGCGTCTGTTGTCAACAGGGGTCACAATGCACCGCATGCCGCGGCCTCCAAGCTAGTAGAGATATCTCTCTCATGTGTTGCAGGGCTTGTATCAAATCGACCCAGTATGAGCCATGTGCTAGTTCAGCTCGAAACTCTGCGCAGAGGGCTGATGGGTGGAAAACAGGAGAGGGCAGCCAGGCTGTTAGATGCAGAAGTTCAACAAGCTTCAATGGATTCTAGGGGACTTCACGAGGAGCTTGAGATCATCAACGGTATGTCTCTTGATTGAGAGACCCCATTTAATTTGCGTTGGGGCTTTACGCGAGGCAGAGGTGCGATACTGCACACCCCCTACATGGGCGCAAATGCGCTTATAATAAAACATCGAAACATGGGAAGGGGTGAGGGGAGATGGTGGGGGGGATGGTTGCGGGGTGTGGAGGAGTGCTCATTTTAAAGCCAGTACCTAAAATAGTGACCCCCCCCGCACCCCCCCCCCCCCCCCTTCTAGTTCGGTCCACTTGAATTTCTAGTTTTTTTGTGCTTTGGAAAGTTGGAAATGTTCTGTTTCATTTTTTTGTCTGCGTCCATGACACTGGAGTCTTCACGTTCTGATCACATAAAAATTGTCGCATCCATGGGCAATTGAGTCGCAGGTAAGCAATTCTCACTCAACGCGCCGATCGGCATGGGCCTGGGAACACGGCTAAAACAGAGAGAAACAAGAGGGAAAAAACAGAGAGTTTCATGGTGATGGTAGAGACAGAGATAGACTCAGGAGGGATCTGGTGAGAGAGATGTGTGGGAAACATGTACCGTAAATGTTAGGGTGATGCGAGGGGCATTGGAAAGGGTGACGTGACTCGCGCTTGTTGTTTCTTTCCGTAAGATTGCAGGTGGTGACAAAAGTGATGAGAGGTGGGGCAATGAAGCGACGCCGACGAGACGGAGAGCACGAGGGCGGCAGGACGGGAGGGGTGAACACGAGGGGCGACGGAATGAGACGGATATGTCAAAATACCGTATTCTCCCGGATAAAACACCCTAGGGTATTATGAAAACCACTGGAAAAAAATGGGGAGGGTCTCCTCAAAGGAAAATCCTACATAATACCCGGGTCTTATTATATGGTACATTTTTTATCAAGCAGAAAAGATGTGAAACAAAATCAGGGGTCTGACTTCACTTCAAGATTGTTGATCAATGCCGCAAAACCGAGTACGAGGATATCGTGGGCCACTTGGGCCACTTCACCTCTTGGACCACTTGCAGTGGAAGATTCGCCAGCGTGGCGACAGGGAGATTGTGGGCGGGGGGAAATCTCGGAAGATTCTAAGTGAAAGTACATGCAAAATTTCTTCTAGGGGACGATTCTCACGATATCCTTTTGTAAGGAATCGGACTCGATAATAGCTATAATAGGAATCTATGAGAAAAGGGGGGTGTAATAGAAAATCACCCCAAAAGGGGGGGTATAGTACAAACGAGGTCGATTATAACACCCACCCTGCACAAGCTACCCAGGGGTGTACAATTTAGGGGGGGTGTTTTATCCGAGAGAATACGGTAGTAGCTATAGGCAGGGCCTCAGATGTCAGGAATTTTACCCTGAATTCCTGAAGTTTGACCCCCGTTTTTTATCATGACCCTGATGCATCAGCCTTTTTTTTTCAACGACCCTGATGTTTCAGTGTTTTTAAATTTCGAACTCTGATTTTCCAGTGTTTTGTGTTTGAGGACAATGACGAGTCAGTGTTGTATCGGGGTCTACCCTGAAACTGAAAACTCCTTGTTTTGGCGCGCCGTCACTGTGCACCGTGCACCAAGGGGATTTCTGGCGAAACATGCTCTGACAGGGCGAATCTCTTGTGTGAGGGGCGAATCTTCTGCTGTGTCAGGGCAAATCTGCTGTGATTGGGCAAATTTGCTCTGCTGCGACAGCGCGTAACGACTGTGCGAGGTCGAATTTGCCGTCAGGGCGAATCTGCTATGACGAACCAAGTCCGAATCATCAGTCAAGTACACAACCAGAGATCAGAAACAATTCTTAACAGTTGTCCTATTCAATTGGTCAGACAAGATTTCTAACCAATCAGACACGGAAATAGCAGAATCCTGACCGAATTTGGGAATTGTAAAGTGAGGGAAGTCTGATTCGCTGTGTTATGACAGCATACCAGTAAAGCAACTATGGTGATCAGTGTTGAAGTTGTAGAAACCCTGATTGATCAGCGTTTTATTTCTAACAACCCTGTAAATTCAGTGTTTCACACTAGACGACACTGAAAATCAGTGTTACCCTCCTAGGGACACTGAGTGCTCAGGGTACACAAAAACCAATCTGAGGCCCTGGCTATAGGCTAGGGTTTTGGGAAGAGAAAGTTGGCCAAGAGAAGAGAGGTTGCAATAACCATGGGAGTACAAGATATAGGAAGGGGAGGTGGTGAAGGGAGGTAGACCACCTAAAAACAAGATAAGGTGATACTACACTACTAGCCAGCAATGCAATTATATACTGTAAGAATGTTACATATTCTAACATCCCCCCTGAATTGCATGCTAGTAGCTAGTGTAGGGGCTCATCTCGAAGCACTGACGCCACCATGCCGATAACTGCTCTCACGGCCGGGTATGGTGGAATGCTCGCCTGCGGGTGTGCGCAACGAGGAACGACGGCGCCCGGATACAATGGATAGAGAATAGACAAGGAAAACAGTACATGCAAATCTCTCTCTCAAGCAGTCCTTACATTTATAGGTTCATACGGGTACAAGCAATACAGACAGGGATGATAAACAGGGGTAGGCCTAGAAGTACCAAGCATCCCTAGTTTGTAGGTAGCCACTGGTGGGGTTTCTGTACATGGGCAGGCATGAGATGCTGCCGGGCAAAGACTGACAAGGCATGGCCTGGCAGGGCAACTGGACAAGGCACGGTAGGCAGGCATCCAAGCAGGCCAGCAAGTATAGTGCCACCACTCAGGCACAGCAGGACAGGCAGAGCATGCTATCACGCTACCCTAGGCATTGAACCGTACCCGTACCGCCTACTCATCAAGAACCTCCTCCCTCTCATCCTCCAGCACTGTCCACAGGTCCCCGAGGGTAGGCTCCCAGGGGTCCCTTGCAGCCTGCGGGAAAGTTGGCTCATCCACTAGCCTCGACTTGTTCAGGAAGGATGTCGCCTGAGAACGTTGCAACATGACAGACCAACACTGCCTGTAATGAGCCGTTAGCCACGCGGTCGTGGTTGTAAGCTTTGTCTGGCGGAACTTTTTCTTGGCTGCCGATGTTGCTAGCAGCCGCAGGAACTGCTGTGTATCTGTGGCTAGGGCATCGTACGTCTCTACCGCCAGCCCGAAGAATCCCACATAGTCTGGGCGGCGCTCATAGAGTCTATGTTTCATCTCTGATGCTTCCTTCGTTGCCCACCCCGGAGGTTTCTTTGCCCTCACGTCTCTCCGCTGCAGGACAGGGTCCGTGACCGTCACGTTTGTCACCCAAGTCTCGTTAGACTCCTTGTTCCTGAACGCCAAGACCCCTCTCTTTTTTACTACCGGCAACGAGAAGGCTGTTGTTTCGTGGAACACTGTAAAGTCGGCTTCCCGGGCCATCCTCAGCGCAGCGTATTCCAGGGCATTGTGTGTCCTCACCACATCTCCTCCCACTCCGCAGTGTAGCAGATGATTCCGCAGGCTTGTATCCGCTATGTCTGAATTGTCTCGGTTGCATATGGCATTTTAGAGTGACTGGTAGCGACATGCCAAGGCAGAAGCCTAAAGCCAACGAGAATTGACCAAGGGCAAATGTAAGGTCGCTTCTCGTTGGCACGGCATGCAGCCAATCACCCGCCCCTACTCCCTGTAGGCTGATTAGGCGCACCACGTGCCCTCTGCCCGTACCCAACCTGTCCTCGATTGTATCTGCCACAAGCTCAGCTGCCCGCCTCTCGTTGATGTGGCGTGATAGCACCAGCTGCAAGGCTTCTCCCTGTGTACCCGTAGTGCTGTCTTGCAGCTGCTGGCAGTCTGCCTTCCAATGCCGTGAGCGGGTTGACCCCTGGTGGGTCCGGGGTCCACTTATGATCCAACAGCGTGGCTGCCCGGCTTACAAGGTGTGTCTCGGGTAGGTTTATCTGGCGCAGGAGTTGTTGTGCCGCCGTAACTTAAGCTATGTAGGCGGCCGGTGCTTCCGAGGTCGGATCTATAATGCCCAGCCCTCCCAGCCGAACCGGGAGTGTCCCTTGTCACCACATTCGCTCGCTGGTGTCCTCAGCTTAGCTGCTGCCAGCGCCGCCGCTAGCAGTGTTTCGCTCCATGCTCTCCACTCGTGCCTGTTTAGTACCCCGGCCGGGGCTGTTCGCAGCAGGTATGAGATTCTGCGCGAAATGCTCCACGAGATAATGAGCATGGCGTATTGCGGGTGTAGCTGAGCGACTAGGGGAAGCAGCAATGATGCGTCGTCAAGCCACATTTGTGCCTGGCTTGCGTAGAAGGCGACTGATCCGATCAGGCTGCCCAGCACTTGAATTCCTTCGTCCGTCATTCGCAAGCCAAATATTGTTGTTGCGTCGCTCGCCTCCGTCTCTTCTTGGCCCCATGCCGTCGATTTGGCGATGTTGCATCGGAGTCCTAGTGCCCCCAGCTCCCTTGTGATAGCGTTGAAGGCTTCGAATGCCGCTTCTTTAGGACCAATGATAGTTATATCGTCCGTGTAGGCTGCGATCGCCACGTCAGGCATGAGCGTTGCAGTGCTCTGTAGGACAGGCTGTATGGCCGCTGCAAAGAGCGGTGGGCCCAGCGGGTCGCCCTGGCGGACTCCTCGAGTGCTGACCAAGTCGGGGGTCCACCAGAAGTCATGAGGGGCCTCCGTAGAGTGTCAGGACCAGGGGTAATAGCGGCAGCACGCTGGATTGCGAGAGCGCTGTGAAGAAAGCCGCCCTCTTTGCACTGCAGAATGAGCCATCCTATACCGAGTCACCATCTGGTTACCGGCTCACCATCTGGTTACCGACGGCCTCCACTGGTGGGGGTCCTTGTATTGATATAGCCGTGGGTCCTTGTATTGATATAGCCGCGGATACCGACGGCCTCCACCAGTGTCCACCCGTCTGTTCCTCGATGGGGCAGTGGGCGGCCGACTCGTTGTGAACGATAAACCCCGCATCCTTCGCCATGCTAATGCATGCGACCCGCAGCTCATTGTGGGTGTTGATGCGGTGTTTTCCCGTACCGCAGCGGAGGAGGTGGTTCGGGAGGCGGGGGTCAGTGATAGCCGTGTGGTCAGAGCA